TTTACTGTGCCATCTGGACCCACCCAGTTTCTCATACTCACCATTTGCTTCAAGGAAGCCATTTACTCCATGGAAAGTTTCAGCCATCTGGGGTGGTCCCAAGGAGAATTGCTCAGCCACCAAAGGAAAGGAAAGCCTATTCCTTCACCATCAGCACCCCTTGACACAGAGAGGAAGGATGGAGAAAAGCAGAGGATCCCAAGAGTAATTCAGGCATGAACTCACAACAGGCTCCTTCCTCTTGCTGACTCAGATCTCCCACTCAAGTAAACACGAATTGGAGTGGTAATTCCATGTTCTAAATTAGATGGAGACCACGTTGCCTGAGGTGCACTGTCTTCTCAATATCGTTATCTGTCTGATGTTAGAAATCCTGCAAAAGTACTGAAAGTACATTCGGGAAGAAATGCCAGTAACAGCTTGCCGTGTCCAGCTTAGTCCTGCCAGCCTCAGAGCACTCTGGCAGTATTCCTGAAGCAATTTATGCCAGGTAAAATAATAATCTCCGCTTGGCTGCAAGGCCCCCTACCAGACCTCCAAGAGACTCTTATGTTTCCTTTGTCCTGTGTAGAAGCAAAGGAAGAGAACTTCTCCATGCTGGCACCCTGACTTTGGAATACCCTCCTCATTTGATTGGTACAGACATTATTTTCATTCTTGTGCCAGGTTAAAACCATTTTGCCCGGTCATTTTAAAAGTGTGAAGCCACTTTAGTTTGATCTGCCCTGTTGGTTGCATGCCTCCAATTTTTCTAAGAGAATGCTATTGCTTTACTGTTTTATTCTGGAGTGTTTGTGGCATCTTTTCATTTTTCCACGCCTCTTGTACACTGCCTCGGTATCAGATTGAAGAACAGTTTAAAAATGCTTTCAATAAGGAATTAATCCATATAAAACAAAATAGTCCCATACATTCCAGAACTAATGGCGGATTTGGGTGATCAAATTTCTCCCCACAGTCTGCTGTTAACAAGTAGCGAGAATTAAACTGAACAAGGCTGCTGGAAGGGGTCCAGTGGGTAATTGATGTCATAGTATCAACATGGAATAGGCTGGATTTTTTTTCTTCCCTTGATAGGTGTAGTGTCCATTAGTCCACTGACCAATGAAATAATCTTAAGGGTGTCAGGGACAAAAATACGAGGTTGTGAGAGCCATTGTAGTTGGAATGTCAGTTTCAGAAAGGGGAGAATCCAGTTGAAATCCCCCTGAAATGCTGAATACATGCAGCATTCAGAATGCTATGCTGGATATGTGCGGCTTCCTGTTGCCAAATGGGTGGAGGTGCAGGGTTTAGGAGCTCTGCAAAATCTGGGCCCTCCCTGGCACAGACTGTGTCTCCCACAGAAGAATGGGCCCAGTGCATCCCATCTGTGAAGCCAGTGTGACATCGGTGTTAAGCGTGTTCTCCTGAAACTCAGGAGATGTGGCTTCTAGTCCCCATTTGGCTGTGAATCTCACTGGGTGACTTTGGACCAGCCACGGACTCTCAGCCTAACCTGCCTTATAAGATGGTTGTGAAGATAAAGTGGAGAGGTTCTGTAGGAGGGTCATGTAAGCTGCCTCGGGAACCTTCCAGGAGGCATACAAATATAAGAAACAAATACATAAAGGCAACATTTTTAAGCTAGTTGTGGGCCAGCCTGAATTCCAAGAAAAAACGAGCAGAATCTCCAGGTGAGGAGTCATGACTCAGCTAAGTGTAGCCTTCACGGACTTGGAAGCAGGAAGCTGATTGTCAGGAACTGCAATGTTTGAGAACTGCAGGGGAAGGTGAAACTGGATGCAGCTGGCGGAGATGCAGCCTTCAGGTCTCATATCTGTGCTGTGACTGCAACCCCTACCCTGATTTGAAGCTTGGAAGTTGGAGATATCAGGACATCAGAGAAGAAGGTTGCATATAAGGTA